AGCATTTTCAAGCGCTGGTCGCCAGCAGTCGCTAGGAGATGTTCGGGGCTGCGTTTTGATACACAGCCTCGATTACGTCGTGGAAAAGAGGCCACGGCTCGCAGTGTTTGAAAATGTGCGGGGGCTTAGCGGCCCGAAATGCAAAGCGGTGCTGGATGCGGTGGTGAAGATTCTGCGCCTCTGCAATTACTCCGTACGGGCCCAGGTCCTCGACACGAAGGTCCATGGGGGAATCCCGCACAGCAGGCCAAGGCTGTACCTCGTGGCCGTCTCAAAGGCATGGGCAGTGAAAGAGGAGATGCGGCGTGTCTTTCCTGATCCTATCACTTGCCCTTCGCTCAGCCGCTTCATCATCAACAACGTGCAGCAGAAGCGGGATGTCACAGACTTGGCCCTGAAGAACATCAAAGCTGCCAAGGCATTTGCTGAAGCGAAGGGCTGGGATGTGAAGAGGCAGATCGTGTGCGACGGTGGGGCCACAGAAATGTTTCGGTGTGTCATGCTGGAGTGCAGCCCATGCTTGACAAAGTCCAGGGCATCGTCAAATGGACATTTCCTAGTGACGCTGAATCGATGGATGAACATCTGGGAAATGGCTGCGCTGCAGGGATGGCCAAAAGTGCTGGTGGATGAGGTCCTGCAGTCGTTTCCTGCCAGACAAATGGGCGCGACCATTGGCGACGGAATGTCGCTGAGCATTTTGCAGCGGATGCTTCCTCGGGCGATGCTGGCCTCCCAGCTCATCAGTAAGCTTCCACATGACATTTGGGCTGATTCCGCCAAGGTGAAAGGCCATTTGCCAGATGCAGTGTACGGTTTGGTTTCACCCGGACATGAACAAGGCGCTCTGTGGCGATGATGCCGCACGCCGCCCAATGATGTAATTTGAAATACTAAATTCAGTAGGCGGCTGCTCTGGCAAGGGATGACCCGCACCATGTCGCTTGGCCGAAAACGCGCGATGTCTAGCTTGGATTTGTCCAATGAGCTTGTGGACTTGCTTGCCCCTCCGGCGCCTATTAGCATTGTCGCTTTGAATCCGCCGTGTCATTTGCGCGACTTTGCGGGCTCTTAGCAAAGACCAGGGCGCTACCGACCATCGTCTAAGCCAATACGGCCCTGTGAAAATAGTTTTACGCAAATTATTATAGGTTCCTTTTCAAGCTCGAAGTGTTGAGAATCTAACCTTTGTAACAGCTTACCCCACTCAGAATCACGAAGCAATGTCGTTGTCCCCACTGGCGGGGAGACTCAGATACCCGTTGACGACCATTTGGAAAGGCGAAGTCTGCGCCGCAGCGGAGACCCAGTTTGAGCTTGCAGAGGAAACTTGGCGACATTAAATTGTTTGTCTCAGACTTAGGATGCCGTCAGTTTAAAATAAAGGTGTTGGTCTGCGATCCGCTCTCGTGCAAGCAAGGACATTGACATGGAGGCGATCGAGCCGAACACTGAGTCCGCAGCCTTGGCCGAGTGGGCGCGCATCTTCCTTTGCTTCTGGCCAGCGGCAGCAATATTCAGCTACCACGAGGTGGAGACTTACAAGGTGGAAATGTTCATTGTCAATGCTGCTGTTGCGGGCGATGACAAGGTCCTCATTCTGAGGGTGAAGCACTTAAAAGGCGAGCACGAAGGCAAAAATCAAGCCATCGTTTTGGGAAGGCAGTGACATGGACCGTGCCACAGCAGCGCGCAGAAAATTGCAAAACCGGAGCGGCTGCCAGCTTGCGAGTCGTTCGACGGACTGCCGTGCAACTCAGGGCTTGGTGAAACACGCTGCTTCCAGGCATGTTTGTTGAACTGACGATGTGTGTTGCTCATGTCATTCATTTGCTTCCGATCTTCAACTATAAGACTATCAACGGAGTTAAACTCGGTGGCCCTGAGTCGCCCGATGCAGGTCGGGTGATTCAGGACTTCCGATGACTTGCCGCCCAACCTCAGTGTTGACTTCAATCAATGAAGTCAAGTTGGCTTGGAGCTGAAGATGGGTCACTTGCAGTCACTGGGGCTCAGTGGCACTGAGTCGCCCGGTTGCAGTCGGGCGACTCAGGGCCGCAGAGCCCCGCTGCCTTATTTTTGGACGAGTCAGTGTCAGTCAACGGGACTTGGCCTTTATTTCGTAAGTTGCTTGAGGCGTTCTGGAGCTGACAATTGCCGTTCAGCAGGCGCTAGTATTATGTGTTTAATTTAACGTCTTTGGTTGAACAACCTGGCATGGGCATCATTGGACCCTACTTGCTTTGAACTCATTTGTTGTTTCCATTTAAGTATGGCGAAGCACTTTTTCCCCATGGAAAACATTTTTGAGGAATCCCCCTGCGCCGGGTCACCCAGCAGTAGTGTGGCAGCAACGCAACGCCCCCGAAATGCTGGGGCGTGCAAGCGCGAGGCGATGAAGGCGACAGTAGGATGATCCCGGCAAGGCTGCGGGACAGGAAAGACATGAAAAGTTGTCAATTTGTTCTGCAAGTGTTTCATTTCACAAAGGGGCTTCCGATCAATGCCGTGTTGTCTTAACGGGGCTCATCGGCGGTGGCTTAAAGCTTTAGTCTATTTTCGCATAGATTCGTCGGCTGCGCTGCGGTCAACCAGGCTAATTTCGGAAAGGCCCGTCGACATTCGCGTTCGAGTTGGCAATGACCGCAGCGTCGCTGCCCGCAGCAGTTGGGTCTCGAGCAGGGACCAGCTCAATGGACGGGCAGGCAGAGCCATGGTGGCCGTTGGTGCTCGAGATTGCCATCGGCATTGTCATCTATGAAGTCTTGAAATGGCTGTTGCGATGCCTGCTGCAGAAGGCTGGCGACATGATCAGCAGCCTACCAGCACCGCCGTTGACACCCCCAGCAGACGCTTTGTCAAAGAACCGGTTTCTTTTAGGTGGGTGGTGGCTAAGGCCGCCCAGCTCAGCTGAGAGTTGGGCGTGTTGCCTCTTTGCGTTTGGAAGGCCCTCAAGATTTCATCCTCAAACGCCAAGCATTGAGCCTGAAAATTGTCATTCAAGGGTCTTTCGAGTAACGTCCCAGCTGTTATGTGCATTTGCGCCTATGTTGCAATTTGGGTTGACATTGACTTGCTTGGCCACGAAATGCCACGAAGTAAGGTCACGAGTGGGCTTAGGCAGGTGTAATAAGGTTGGCCCAAGTCCGCCCGCTACCACCCAGGACAGCAGGTGCCAATGCTGCGGCGAGATCACTGGGCCTTCAACGCGGTCCGCGACAAGCGCGTTCATCCAAGAGAACAAGAACGACCAGAAGAGACGTGACAGTGAGCGTCGTGGCGGAAAGCCGCTGTCGCGCTGGAACCAGTTTCAGAAAAACAACCAAGGCAAACACTGGTCTTCAGACAAGATGAGGGCTGAGTATTACCGGCAGCAGCTCATGTCTAGCACAAAGCCTGGAAAATAATTAGATGGCTCGCCTTGTCAACCTTCAGGCGTCGCGCGAAAAAAGGGGACGCGGCGGCGGCTTGGGCGGGTTGAAGGCCATGGGCTCGATGGCATCTTAACCAATTAACGCCCCTGCATGTTTTAGGTAATTTCCCCCCATTTTATTTAACTGTTTGACTGCACTTAATGACAATGATTGTTGGAAAACTGTTGAAAGGTAATTTTAAGTGTTCAAGATGCATCAGTATGAAGGTCATGCGATGACCAAATTCAAGCCTTCCTAAAGCCTGAGCTGCTCCTGCTGATGACAACACAAAGCCAACGCGAAAAGTGTCAATATCAGTACAGTATACGTGAGTATGAAGACCTAAGAACATCCATGACAAGGAGGAACTCAATGTCATTGTCATTGCGGTTTTGATTTTAACAGGCAGACCCGCCCGTACTGACAACCACAAAACGACAAACTAAGCCAACCCCACGATTATACGTGAGTATGAAGAACATCCATGACAAGGAGGAACTCAATGTCATTGTCATCTTTGGGGTTTTGATTTTAACAGGCTGACCCGCCCGTACTGACAACCACAAAACGACAAAACTCAGCCAACCCCGATTAAACGTGAGTATGAAGAACATCCATGACAAGGAGGAACTCAATGTCATTGTCGTCATTGCGGTTTCGATTTTAACCGGCTGACCCGCCCGTCCTGACAACCGCAAAACGACAAAACTAAGCCAACCCCAAGAGCAACCAAAGCAACTGCTATACATCAGCAAGACACTGTCCTTTTGGCCCTTTGCTTCTCCGGTGCTGTGTGTGCTTTCGCGCGGCACGCGACAAGCAGGAAAACGAGGCCGGGAGAAAGGAGAAGCCGTCCCTACACGGGCGAAGAGCAAGAGGACGGACACGCGGATGATGGGGAAGACGAACAACCAGCCAAGCACAAAGCAAGCGCAACGCAACATCGTACTGAGGTGGACTTGGAGATGATGACACCTGTCGATACCAGCTCACCTAAGGAATCAACTGGCTAAGGTCACTGAAAACGCCAGAGGCGTCCCGGTCACACAACGGGCAAACCCGACGAAACGGGGTGAAACGCACCTGATGACACACAAAGGGAGAAGAGGTTGAACCTTCGAATAGCCATGAATCGAGTCCACAGGTTCGAATGGTGGCTGACGTGGCTTCCCTTTAACTGCGAACGGTACGAGGTCAAACATACAGCACACACAGCAGGAGAAACAAAGAGCCAACAGGACATTGTGTCACACGAATGGTGCAGGTACGCAGAGCTGATCAGGCTCTGTGTCCCGCCAGATTGCGTAGCTGTGTTGGGCGCAGTTTGCGATCTGGCGCCGTGCCTCCCTGCTCACAAAAGCAACAGCGCACACGCGCACACGCCCACACGCCCACACGCACGCACGCGCCCACGCGCCCACGCGCCCACACGCCCACACACACGCGCACGCGCCAACGCGCCCACACGCTCACACGCGCGCGCACGCGCACCAGCACGCGAGCGCACACACAAGACACACAAGCAGTTCCTACAACAAAGTCTTTTATCATTTGCATCCGAGTGCCTGCAGCCATGCTCAGCCTTAGGTTCCTGCCCGGCCGCCGGGAAATTCTGGAGTAGAGGAGACTGCATGTCTGACAGGTTGAACAGATGGCCATAGATGGCCCTACTTTTCAGTCTTCAATTTACATGGCCACCTAGCAGATTGGCGTTGGGTCGTGAATTGCCTTGGTACATGCATGCTTGTGTTCCTTCGCTATTGTCCAACTCGGGAGACTGTGTCCCTGTGTCCTTGAAGAGGATCTACTTGATCTGATTTGCCTTGATCTTGTTTCGCCTTTAGCCTGAGCAACTCATGCATGCTAGTTGGAGCATGCGCGCATGAGGCCTCTCAAACTGGCCTCGAATGCGTTTGCTGTTGATTTTGGCGCCATGGGTACACCAGCACGCCGGCAGTACATGAATCCGAAAACACTGTGCAACCTATCCGGACAAAGTCGCAGGAGCACGGATGCTAAAGCCATATTTGTCACCATTGTCAGATGTATTTTGCATGTTGTGGCCCCGAACAACTGCTTTTGCCACCCGGGACCGCCTGGCATTTCAGGAGCTCATGAAAGCCTTCGACTCTGATGCAGCTGCCGCTTTGATATTGTAGAAAAATCAAGTTGGCAAATGCGGACTGTCCATGCCGTAAACCAGCAGTGAGCCAATGGACCAGCGTTGACTGCTAGCGTTGAAGCAACATGCACAAAGTTGACTGAATGCATCGCAGAGGAATGTGTTGGGCAGTTCTTGAAGTTGAGACACCAACCTGCTTGACAATGCAAACTCAAGTAGCAACTGCCAGCGGGCCGTTGAAGATTGAGTTGCATCAATGGAACTTGCTTGGGTTGACTTGTGTTGGGTAATTATACACCCTCACTTCGGCAACTTGGCTTTGTTGTTGGGTTGACCGCGAAGGAGGTGAAGGATATGTGATGTGTGGGTTCTCCAAAAGATACACATGATGATCGCTGGCAAAGGATCAATGCATGCTGTTGCTTCAAGAGCTGCATCATGAATGCTATTTCAGCTTTCCCATCTAAATATGCGCGTAAGGTGTGTTTGTGTGTGTGTGTTGTGTGTGAGTGTGTGTGTGTTGTGTGTTTGTGTGTGCTGTGTGTGTGTGTTGTGTGTGTTGTGTTGTGTTGGTCTGTTGGTGTGTTGCTGTGTTGCTGTGTTGCTGTGTGTGTGTGTGTTGGTGTGTGTGTGTTGGTGTGTTAGTGTGTTGGTGGGTGGTGGCGGGTGGGTGTTGGGTGGGTGGGTGGGGTGGGTCGTGTAGGTGGGTGTGGGTGGGTGGGTGGGTGGTGGGTGTGGTGGGGCGTGTGGGTCCTGTGTGTGTGTGTGTGTTTGTGTGTGTGTGTTGTTTGAGTTGTGTTTGTGTTTGTGTTTGTGTTTTTGTTTTGAGTGATGTGGTTTGGGTGCGTGCGTGCGTGCGTGCGTGCGTGCGTGCGTGCGTGCGTGCGTGCGTGCGTGGCGTTGCGTTGCGTTGCGTTGCGTTGCGTTGCGTTGCGTTGCGTTGCGTTGCGTTGCGTGCGTGCGTGCGTGCGTGCGTTGCGGCGTGCGGTGCGTGCGTGCGTGCGTGCAGTGCGTGCGTGCAGTGCGTGCGTGCAGTGCGTGCGTGCAGTGCGTGCGTGCAGTGCGTGCAGTGCGTGCAGTGCGTGCAGTGCGTGTGTGCGCGCGTGCTGTGTTTGTGTTTGTGTTTGTGTTTGTGTTTGTGTTTGTGTTTGTGTTTGTGTTTGTGTTTGTGTTTGTGTTTGTGTTTGTGTTTGTGTTTGTGTTTGGGTTTGTGTTTGTGTTTGTGTTTGTGTTTGTGTTTGTGTTTGTGTTTGTGTTTGTGTTTGTGTTTGTGTTTGTGTTTGTGTTTGTGTTTGTGTTTGTGTTTGTGTTTGTGTTTGTGTTTGTGTTTGTGTTGTGTTTGTGTTTGTGTTTGTGTTTGTGTTTGTGTTTGTGTTTGTGTTTGTGTTTGTGTTTGTGTTTGTGTTTGTGTTTGTGTTTGTGTTTGTGTTTGTGTTTGTGTTTGTGTTTTGTGTTTGTGTTTGTGTTTGTGTTTGTGTTTGTGTTTGTGTTTGTGTTTGTGTTTGTGTTTGTGTTTGTGTTTGTGTTTGTGTTTGTGTTTGTGTTTGTGTTTGTGTTTGTGTTTGTGTTTGTGTGTGTGTGTTTCTATGTGTGTTTCTGTGTTTGTGTGTGCGTCTGTGTTTGTGTCTGTGTCTGCGAGTGTGAGTGTGTCTGTGTCTGTGTGTGCGTAATTGCTTGGCTCGAGTACTTTTATTGCCTGATAATTCGTGTATGATGATGTTAGGTTTTGTTTGATTGCGTGGTTGGTTGAATCTCATTGAGCGATTGAGGTGTGTCATGTTTGCCTGGATTGCTTGATGTCAGCAGCTTGCCTCGGCGCCCTGACTGTGAAAAGCTATCCGAAAATGTGATGTGACCAGCCAATGCTTTTGCTTGCCTTGGTTATAGTCCTAGTTCTGTTGCCTGGGATATTGACACTGCTAACGACTCCTGAATCTGCTGCGCCAAGGACACGAATCCGCCGGACATGAACCGGCTATGCACCACCACATGGGTGCTGAAAGGGTGCGCCCGCCCACCATTCCTCGATAGTCCGCGGGTGAATTTGTGGTTTTCGTGGTAATGTTGGACCCTCTTTACACGCCCCCCCCCCTGGAACAGTGGAACAGTCAGCTGGGCCATCTTTAGGGAAATCCTGGGGGTTTGCGAGGGACTGCTTACTTTAGTATTGCCAATTCTACTTTAGTATTGCCAAGGTTGACCCTCAGATTCCCAGTACTTTCTTTAGTATTGCCAATTCTACTTGAGTATTGCCAAGGCTGACTCTCAGATTCCAGTACTTTCTTTAGTATTGCGAAGTCTGCTTTGGCATTGCCAAGGTCGACTCCCAGATTCCCAGTGCTTGCTGTAGTATTGCAAATTCTACTTTAGCATCGCCAAGGTTGACTCTCAGATTCCGGCTCTCAGATTCCCAGTGCTTGCTTTAGTATTGCCAATTCTACTTTAGTATTACCAATTCTACTTTAGTAATGCCAAGGCCTGTTTTTTCAGCAACCCCCAAAAAGGTTGGACAGTAAAGAGGACCCTAAAACAGCCACATTAAAGAGGCTCAGGGCCTATGGCAGGCAACCCCCTTTGCACGAATGGTTGCCCTTACTCTTGTGTGAAGAAGTTATCTTAAATTTGATGGTTTGGGGGCCACTGGCAAAATGGACTTCCTAGATCCAAGGCCTTTACCCTTTGAGCTGGGAAGAGCAAGGTTAGGTGAGCCACCCTGGTGAATGTAAAAGGCTAAGGCTTTATTTTGAGAATTTCAGCAACCCCCAAAATAGTTCGACACCAAAGAGGACCCCAAAACAGTCACATTAAGAGGCTCAGGGCCTCTGTGGGCAACCCCCTTCGCGCGAATGTTTGCCCTTACTTTTTTCAATAAACAAGTTATCTCAAGATTGGATGGTTCGGGGACCACTTCAAGAACAGAATTCCTAATGTTTGCCCGGATTTGTTTGCCCGTGGTTTGTCCGACTTTTGTCGGCCAGTCGTTGTTTGCCAGGATTTTTCCCGGCATTCTTTCCGGCAAGAAACATGCCACAATTGAGGAACCTAAAACGGTCGCAAGATCCTGAATTGCGAAAATGAATCGCCACAATAGAGGGTACTTTTCCAATTGGGGTCTAACAGTATTCGGTTTATTTGCTGCTATTGCGGTTTTCCAAAGGGTTGATTGTGAACGAAGACCAACGGCTCTTGGAGTCAAGATAGTCAAGTTGAGCATTAGATCAGCGCACCAAATCGTGAGCTTTGTTTAGAGGCTTTGCTCAGGACCACAGCTAGTCTAGAACCCCCCTCTCAACATTTTGCGTCGGGGACCAAGTCGGCCTCAAGCCGGTCCAACCAAAGTAATTGCCGCACAAGTCCGGATTGGCTAGACCCTTTACTTGCCTGCTATCGCAAACGGAGTGACGCACTTCGACTTCACGCAACATTCATGCAAACTACTCTGTACTCTCGGGTGCAGGCTGCGCACAAAGTACTGCGTTCAGACCGGCGCTTGCGTGGAGGACGTGGTGGACACAGGGATTACGGCAGTATTGCGTACATGGTTTCTGTAGAGCGTTTGCGGATGTCCACAGCTCCTGTTGCTTGCTGACAATTGCCAATTGCGTTCCTCGCCGAGTGGATTCGTCAGATTCAGCGCGCAAGCAGCTGAAGTGCCAGGAATTTGACCACTACTGCGTATGGCTTAACAACACAATCGGCTCCTTGATGGCATTCAGTGAGCGGTCAGGGAAGAGAGGCACTGGGATGTTTTCTGTCCTGTTTGTATCATGCCCTTAGCTTCATGCAACCTGCCAGACAGGCCAAGACACATCCAGCGAGAGAGCTTAGACCATGCAGGCGAGCTAGGAGTTCTCGAAAAAATGTTGATGTCACAGGACTAAAGGCGCACATGCTGCATTAGTTATTTGAGCGCTTGTGCAAGACGACCCCTGCAAGAGAGGAGTATTGCAGATGAATTCGGTCTTATCAGAAAGCTTCAGGTGACAGTGTGGAGATCGGCGAACGAACCTTTTGCAGCACTGAGGTCGGGGTAACCACCGGCAGTTTGTTGGCCGTGAGCTCAGATGTGATCTACTTAATTTGGCCTGCCAATGATCTACTGCTATGATTGACTGTCCATGAAAGGCATGTTGACTCAGTTCCTCCGCGGGTTCATTGAGCATGCTGAAATCCTGATGATTTAGGTGTCCCAACAAACAGAGATTCGAGTAAAACGATTCGAGGTTGCTCCACGGTCTCTTTGCAATTGCAGCCACCCACCTGCCACTCATTTGAGAGTCGTTCTAAAACCCTTGAATTGATTTTTGTTTTCCCGGTTCGCTTTTTTTAGGCGGTTTGTGTAGGGTTCGAGTAGCTTATGACTGAAAAGCGGCACGTGTTTAGGTCCTGCTTTCATGATTAGATGTAACGTGTTTAGTTTTTTGTCTGCAGCGCGGAAGCTTTGCGGAAGCTCCGCGGAAGCTTTGTGTGTGGGAGTCGTTCTGAAGGTCCTTCTCTACTTGTACTACAAAGTTGAGGTTTTTCGAGCTGAAGCTGTGGAACTGTACTTCGCGTGCTACACTTGTACTACAAAGTTGCGGTTTTCGAGCTGGAGCTGCGGAAGTGTACATTGCGTACTACACTTGTCTACAAAGTTGCGAGTTTCGAGCTGGAGCTGCGGAAGTGTCCTTCGCGTACTGCACGTGTACTATAAAGTTGTGATTTTTCGAGCTATTGCTGCGGAAGTGTACTTCGCGTATTACGCTTGTACTACAACTGCGATTTTCGAGCTGGAGCTGCGGAATTGCACTTCGCGTAGTGCACTTGTACTACACAGTTGCGATTTTCGAGCTGGGGCTTACTACAAAGTTGCGATTTTCGAGCTGGAGCTGCGGAAGCGTACTTGGCGTACTACGCTTGTACTACACAGTTACGATTTTCGATCTGGGGCTGTGGAAGTGCACTTTGCGTACTACACTTTTACTACAAAGTTGCGATTTTCGAGCTGGAGCTGCGGAAGCGTACTTGGCGTACTACGCTTGTACTACACAGTTACGATTTTCGAGCTGGGGCTGTGGAAGTGCACTTTGCGTACTACACTTTTACTACAAAGTTGCGATTTTCGAGCTGGAGCTGCGGAAGCGTACTTGGCGTACTACGCTTGTACTACAAAGTTGCGAGTGTCGAGCTGGAGCTGCGGAAGTGCACTTCGAGCACTACACTTGCACTACACTTGAGGAACCACCGTGCGCAGGCACGTTGGCTGAGAAAACGTCATTTGGTGACAAGGTCAACGTGCTTCGATAACGCGTTTTGTCGCGGAAGCGCGGAAGCCTAAAAGCGAAACTAGCCAGGCGCAGACATTCAGAACCCTCACTCGTCAAACGACTCAGACAGGTGGCTACAAGGATCATAGCAGCCTGCAGCCCTTGGAAGGGCGCTCTGGAGGGAAAGCTCTAGTAAACACGGTGTTCTGGGATATCGCGGTATTGAGTCATGGCCTGCTGAATTTGGGCGTATTTTCTTGCGAGGCCTGGCCATCGTTGAGTTTCTGGCACAGGCAGGAGGGAAGGCAAAGCGTAAACGTGAGACTGAGTTCACTTTTTGCTGGCTGTCGATACGCGACACAAGACCGAGCGTGGGAAGCAGAGTCTTCGATTTTGCAAGCTCCGCCGGATTTGTTGTACCCTTGCTCTGAAGCCTGCCAGGTGATGCACCTCCGCCTTTGCTTGTCATTGCCTCAAGAGTGGTGGGCGAAGACGGGGGTTAAACATTGCACAATGGTTATTGGCTCACTTCATCTTGCGTGCCTTTTAACGGTTGTTGGAGGACCAGAGTTCAGTTTCTCAGAGGGTGTACGGATCTTGTTCCCAACAGTTTTTGGGCTGATTGGGCTGACACTCAAGCTCTCGCCCCTTCAGGCAACTGCCATCAGTTGCACGCTTCCGAAAGATGTGGCACAGGGCATCTAATCGTGCGACTGTTCAGGGCAGTCTTAGAATGCATTATGTTTGCTCGATGCATTGTACTACTTGTTGCGAAATGCCGTTTGTTGCACTCATCCTAGTATATCAAGCTGCATGCTTCGCGACTCCGACTTAACCAGCACTACAGGAAGTACTCGAATTCCTTCCGAAATTAACGCAAGGTGATCGGACCTTCGCTGGCTGTGCCTGTTGACAGCCCCTAAGACCATTGCCATTTGAAGACAAGTAGCCGAGCCTTGTCCGCTTGCCATCGCCAACTCAGAAGCACAAACTCGGGAGGTGGTCCCCGATCCGTCATAATTGATGTTCATTGCTTGTGTGCGGCACCATTTGGTTCCCATGCTTGCTGCATTCAACCTACGATTGCTGCACCTTCAGCCAGCCTTGCATTCTGGCGCTGTGTATTGCTATTAGCTTCCTGTGAACTTTGCAATCAGCAGCCATGGGATGCCATGGGCCTAACAGAACCCAACAAGGTGCTCTTCTGAGGCTGGAACACCTCAGCTCACCTGGGTGCATCATGCAGACACGTGTCCTGTGCCAGCTAAGCTATCATGTTCCCACGCTAACAGCAAAGCGGCGTAGTCTTGGTACTCTAGAACCACGCGGTAGTTTTTGTTGTTGCTTTTTCCGCAGTGACTGTGCTGACTTTTAACCAGCAAGAAAGCGGTTGAGGGTGGCTGAAGTCCTTTGCAAAGGACAGCCTTAAGAAGGCTTGGGACACTTTGACATGTCAAACATTTGATCAGTGCGGCACAATACCGAACGCTGAGGGTGATGGCGTCGACCCTGGTACCCTACCAGGGCTTTACCCAGTTCACCTGGGGTGTCGTCACTGGCTACCCGCTGCTCACAATGATTGCCCGGCCCTTGATCTTTTGACAGGGCTTGAGCTTTGCAAAGGCTCTGCCTGTTTGGCTCGTTGACCCTTTGTGATTGGGGTGGTTTGTCTTGGCCCACCTTAAAAGTGGAGGCTTCCTCTTGCAGGTCTTGCAGGCATGCCGAGCTGGTCACAAAGAAGGCGACAGACAAAACACCCAGCTTTGGATCAAGCCATGGGCTTGAGCCAAGCGTATGCAGCCAAGCCTGCGGACAAGCCTGGGCAACTTAGCTTGGGCTCCAAGCCTAAATTGCTGCAGGCAATGCACAAGCAGAGAAACACGGTCGAGCAGCACCGGCCACAGCTCGCAATGTGAAGGTTGCCTGACACTGAGGTTTTAGTCCATTGCATCACGGCACCTTGGGTGGCTGCCTCATGACAGTTTACAGTGTCAAGGGCTTGCAGATGCTGGTTGCCCATGTGGGACATCTACGGAGAGTCCAAAACTCTTGCACGATCCAGTTCAAAAAGTTGAACTTCTAGATCCATTTCATGGCTCAACAAATCAAGTCAATAGACGTGTGCTGGGTTTGCTACGTTCCTACATGGGAGTCGTTCTAAAGGTCCTTGTAAGGAATTTAGTATTCGGTGACCATCGGTGTTGGTTGAGGTAGCTCCGCGAAAGATTCGCGATGGAGTTGCGAAAGTAACTTTTTTCTCGCGAAAGTTTTGCGTGACTGTGTCTTTTAAATCAATGATATGTGAAACCATTCATCTTTGCTGCTGAGCCTTCCTTCTGCGCTGATTACAACACTTTGTTGATTTTGCGCTGAAAAAGCCTGGTGAGGCTACAGTTTGATACCCTGCTTGGCTGGTTAGTGCCCCAAGCCTGTGTATGTGTGCCTGTGGGTGCTTAGTCGGCGCCTTTCCGCTCTGAAACGTGGGTGGTTTTTCGCGAAAGTTCCGTGAAAGATCCGCGAAAGCCCGCGCGAAAGCGGCTTCGATTGTAAAGGGGAGGTACTTTCTGAGCGCCGCGCTAGTCAGTATACCAGCTTGCTACTGGAAAGTTGCGACTTTAAGCTGGAGCTGCACGGCTTACGAAAAGCTGCGTCTTTCCAGCCCGTGCATGTCATGTAATACCCCTGTGATGAAAGTTGCGACTTTACAGCTGGAGTTGGGGAATCGAATTTCGCGCACTATGCTGGCACATAAAATCAGCGATTTTCTGACTTGAGCAAGGAAAAGGGCACGGCGATGAATCCGCGAAAGATTCGCGAAAGTAACTTTTTTATTCGCGAAGAATGGCCGTTTCGAGACAAAATAATTTAGAACAACCACCACATGTCGGCGCCAGCAAGCACACATGGCAACCAATGTCAGTTCTGCATCTTTGAAGGTGTTCATGCTGACCCTTCATCAAGCGCGGCTGGTGCCTTCCTTAGCACATGCTTGTGCCAAGCTCAAAAAGCAAAGATGAGCTGCTGCCAAACCACAGGTATCACAGGTTTTGATTCTTAGAGGGAAGCCATGGAATACAGCCTTCAATATTTTTGAGGACGTGGGGTATCTATTTCTGGAGCAGTTGTTGAGAGCGGCAAATTAAGGTCATGATGAACTTGACCACCAACGAGATGATGAACATGCATAGGCTGCTACTGTGGATGTGGGATAACAGATGCCAGGTCTCCCCAACCAGGGAGAAAACCTACAAGGCAGAGAAATCAATTCCTGCCGATCCTGTATTCGGCTTGCCTTGCATTGATTGCCATTTGCAGAACTGTTGAACATGCCAGCTGCCAAAGCCATTCTTAGAATCTCTGGCGCTCAATCGAAATGATGCAGTGAACAGCAGGCCAGTTCGCTTTTGAGGAGGTTCTCAATGGCGGATAATTGCCCGAATGCCCGTTACAAAGACAATCAAGGCCTCTTGAGTGGAAATCATAATCCGGATTCATGGTCCTGTTGCTGAAAACTGCAGTTACGACTCAAACAATGGCCTGAGCAAGCAGAGTCGAAACATGGCAGGTTGCAACACATGAGTACATGTTTGTACATGTTGACTGAACACCTTGATCACGCGCGTGCGCAGACACCCAGAGACACAGACACAGACACAGACACAGGCACAGACACAGGCACAGGCACAGGCACAGGCACGGGCGCGCACACACACACACACACACACATGGAAGGATTAATTCTCTGTTTGTGTGCTGCTTGCCAAAGTTCATGCAGCAAATAACATATGCTCAGTGCAACGCAAGGCATCCGCAATTGCCGATTTGTCGGTTGACCAAAGACATCGTGTTACATGATGCTACTTGTTGTAGGTTGCCGGAAACCATTCAAGCTAGTACAGAGACGCATGAATTGTGATGCGCTGACGGTGCCATCATTGCATGGGACTTGGACAGCAATTGCTTTTCAAACAGAAAAGCAACAGGCATCAACGGAAAGTATGTTTGCTGACACTGACCCCAGTACATGCCGGCATTTGGTTGGGGTAGTGGTAAGTGCACCATTTGTCTCAGCTTGGCTTAAAGGCAGCGCTGCCATGCTATTGTACGCACCCCTTCCTCTTTTTGTAGCTCTTTTGTAGCTCTGTTTCATAGGTGTCCTCTTTTTGCATGTTGCTGAGTGCAGAGATCAGGTACGAGCATTTCTGGGTGACTCGACAAGTTGTTCCAGGCCTCGGGTGCGGGTGCTTTCCCTCGTGCCCCATGACGCTTGACTCGGAAAACTCGTATCATCCTGGCTTTGTTGATTTCCGAGATGGTATTCTGAACAAACATTCTGCTGAACATGTGTGCTTGTACGCAAATTCAGGTGCACTTGATTGAGCATGCCAGCATGAAGCTAGTTGAAGGGGCGCCTGAAGAAGGTCACGGAGTCCAATTCAGACACCTATTCAACCCTTACATTCAAACGTGCGACTCAAGTACAAAGGAATGTGTACAACTATTTCTTGCAGAACAGCCTGGCACAAGGCCCATGCAAACCGCAAGCTAACTCTTAAGCTGGACAATTGCAATGGCCAAGGTAGCATGTTGTGGCCTAGTGGGGCTAAGTAAGCTTTGCTGACAAAATAGCGTAGCCATATTACGCCCATGTGAGCACACCAGTGGGCCGCTGTATTTGAAAGGCCGCAAATGCATTGTGGTGTAAGCTATTGACGAAACTTGCGAGGCCATGCGCACAAATCTTTCCAGAACCCCTTCCACAAGGCTGGGTGCTTGCACTTGCATACCACTCCAATGCTGCCTTGAGTGCCCCGCCACACACACAGAGGCGTGCGTACCTAGTCATTGATAGGAGAAAATATTGAGCTGACAGGCCAACACATTTCATCATGAATGACTGCCATGCTTGGGACACGTCATGTACCGGGCACTGGTATTTGCCCAGGGCAGCGCGTGGGCAAACTGCCTAGATTTTTGGTGGTACCGGCAACGTGGACATGCTGCTTGGCCTCACCAATGGTTTGAGAGGGCAGTGTCCCCAGCGCGTGTGTTCCTGATATAAAACCATTGTTTTCAGCATCTCAAAATAACGAAAGCACACATTGCCGGGAACACTGGTTGATCCAAACAGATTCTTTGGAAGTAGCTTGAATGATAGCCTGACACATGTGTGTCTCACTTGTTTTGGTCTCATGTCCGCGGCTGCAATCGAAACCATCAACAAGTCCGCACATTTACTTCTGCAGTTTTTGCAATTCCCTTCCAGGGAGCAATGCTTGGGGAGTGCGCAGAGAGCACTAGGGGATAAGCACAAGGGGTAAGAGAACACCAAAGGACAGGAGAATACTAGAGGAGCACTAAGAGGACTGCTAGGGGAATATCAAGGGAATACTAGGGAAGTACGAAGGGTGACTACCAGGAAAATACTGCAGACATACTGAGAGTATTAGGGGAATATTAGACGAATACCAAGCGGACAATAGGGACTACTAGGGAATACTAGGGGGATACTTAGGGGGATACTAGGAGAATGCTAGAGAATCACCAAGGAAACTATTGGAGAACATTGAGGAAATACTAGGGTGAGTACTAGGAATTCTCGGGCCATACCAAGAATACCATGGCAATCAACATAGGGGAATGCTGGAGAATACTGGGGAATACTAAGGCAATACTTGGAATACTAGGGTGATACTAAGGGAATACCGGGGAAATCCTTGGAGAATATCGATAGCTAGAAAAGGTGCTTGCAGCGGCAAGTGTAAAAGCAAGGAAACCCAGAAGAACGCAGCAAACAACTCCAGACGCCAAGAACCTCGAGTAACACCAACAGAACAACTCAATAAACAAACGTAAACAACAAACAGAAAACATCGGGAACAAAAGAAACATAAACAACAAACAAAACCAACAACGCACAACAAAACATGTTTCTGCTTAAAAAGAAAAAGAAACAAATCAGGGAAATGTCTAGGAACCAAGCGGACAACATTCTGCCGAGGACGTTGTTTTTTGTT